AAAGAAAGGAAAAAAAAAAACGAGCTGCGCGAGCATCTTCTGGAGCTGACAGTGGCAACCAATAAAGGTACATTTTCTTTCTTTTTCTGAAATCACTCACCGTCCGTTATACTGTACATTTCTTTATAGTTTAAATATTAAATGAGTTTAGCTCTAACCCTGATAAAACTCTCCTACCTGTAGCCTTCTAGTAATCCTAACTAAGTTAATTGGTAGAGGTGTGTTTGATTAGGGTTAAAGCTAAACTGCAGGACAGTGGCCCTCCAGTACCAAGTTTGCCCATCCCTGCTTCAACTCACAAAGAGGCTTTATAAAAGGTTGATTAACCCGTTAATTAAATAGATTATTATGAGAGTGTCATATACAAGATGATTAAATATATTTGTTAATATATTTAAATTATTAACAAATGCACAGTATAACAGTGAGTGATTTCAGAAAAGAAAGAAAATGTACCTTTATTGGTAATTGGTATTGCTCGTTCGGGTACCAACTGATAAGCACCTAAACTACACTGTAAAGAGATTGCTGTAAATTTTACAGTAAGCTGGATGTATTATTACTGTATTTTCATTTAAAGTATTATTACTGTATTGTCAGTATTAGTACTGTTAGTTTATTTTAACTTTTTACCTGTATAAAACAATCCAATTGTGGTACAACACTGTATACCATATTTGTTTCCAACCCCATAAAAATCACAATAACTCATTAGCATTTGTATTTATAATATTCTTTTTAATTGTTGAACATTTTCTTTTTAAAAATACAAAATGCACTAGCTGAAAAAAGGGCATCACCACAGTCCCCTGGGGACTTTGTATCTGTAGCATGGCAAAACAGGCTTTACGGAAATAAAATATATTAAAAAGTAGTTTGTTGTTAAATTTCAGTAATTTTTTGCAAAGATGACAAGCTCTCTGATAAGAAACACCACGAGGGGATTCAGGCTGATGCTTTTTCTTTGCACCCTCTTTCCTGAATTCCATCTGATCTGTGACTCTGAATGGCATTTGGTGCCACCAGGGTTGATTCTCGGAATGAACCTGCAAGCACAAAAAATATATATATTTCAAATAAGTGTTTACAGGATTTACCCCAACTGTCAGACTTAGTGCTGTATGTGCTTTGAGATTAATTAACACTATATACTATCTGAACGCACCTACAAGGAAGGTGCATAATTGGTTGATAATCCATCACAAATTATTAAAGCTCCATTCCTTATAATGCATTCCTGTAGATCAAACAGTAGAGCCAAGTCACCATTATTTATATAGCGCTTTTTACAATGCAGATTGTGTCAAAGCAGCTTTACAGTATTAAACAGGGAAATAGTGTGTCGAAATAGTGTGCCGTTCTCCTCTGGCCAGACGAAACCAGTTTAATTCTAGGTTGCAACAAAGTCAGATTGTGCAGAGGACTCCCGTGGTTCCCGTGGTCTTGTCCCGATGGCCATCTTGGAGACGAGGTCTTCTCTGGGGCTCATCTAGTTGTCCTGGTCTCATCTCTAGGTGCTGATCCACCATCTGGGATGGATACAGACTGGATCCGGGTGACTGCAGTGACCATCTGATCTGGATACAGACTGGATCTGGTGGCTACGGTGACCTCGGAATAAGAAAGAAACAGACTAATATAGGCGTAGATGCCATTCTTCTAATGATGTAGCAAGTACAATCGGGTGTTATGGGAAGTGGTCCCGGTTCCGGTTGACCTAATTAATGCAGCCTAACAATCCTTTAACAGATTTGAATTCTAGAGATGTGTTATGTGTAAGCCAGGTTAAAGAGATGGAATGGCCAGAGTTTTGAGAGCGCAGCGGACGTGGAGGACTATAATGTGATAAGATCTCACTCAAATACTGAGGCGCAAAACCAATTAGCAAGATTTTAAAATCTATACGATGTTTAATAGGGAGCCTGTGCAGTGTTGACAGAACCGGGCTAGTATGGTCATACTTCCTGGTTCTAGTAAGAACTCTAGCTGCTGCATTTTGGACCAGCTGGAGTTTGTTTATTAAGCGTGCAGAATAACCACCCAATAAAGTATTACAATAATCTAACCTTGCAGTCATGAATGCATGAATTAACCTTTCTGCATTTGCCATTGAGAGCTTAGTGTTATATTGCTGAAATAGAGTTGATTCCCAGGGATTGTGGATTTGTGCACCTGCAATGAAGGATTCGAGAAGGTGTTACTGTTGTGTTTGTGGGAGAGAGAAAAATCCTTCCAACTTTTCCAAAGTTTCCAACTTTTGTCTGTGACTTCAAATTTACTGATACACATATGTGGCTATTCTCTACAAATTCAAAATCCCGTGTCACAGACGCTCAGTTGTTTCGGCTTAGTGTTATATTGCTGAAATAATGGAGTTGATTCCCAGGGATTGTATAACGATTAAAAAAACAACAACCTTTAACTAGTTTACTTCGGCTAACTTACAAGTTGATGTTATCACTGTTACGTTGGCAATCACAAGAAAAGGCGAATATCATTAAAATAAATCTGCCTACGGAAATTCGAATGGTTGGGGGGTGGGGAGGGACAAGGTCGTGGTTAGAACGCTTGGTTGAGTGCATCAGACACGACGACGAAGTGCTGCTGCAGCGTCAAGTTTTCGCCATGTCGAAGAAACGCTGTTTTTGTCACCCCATGCCTTTTGAATTTCCTTGCAGCAGATGTTTTCTACTAGGCTTGCTGTGATAGTCGGTGTTGACGGTGTTACCGGTGTTAAGCCGCAACAACAGTTACATCCCTTGCTCACCGTGGCACTGCGCCCCACCGTCGTTTTAATTTTTTATTGTAATAAAAATAATTTGGTTCAGTTAGAGAACAGACAATACCATTATAAACTGAACACGGCTGCTCAGTGCAGAGTGCCGAACGACAGTCGCATCACAGATCATCAGCAGGAGTCAGATTTAATTTGTCACGTGAGGAGAGTAGGGATATGCCGGTATCAAATTTTCATGTTGCGATTAGCGCCATCTGCTGTCAGAGAGTGAAAGTTCGCTTTCATCCAGAGCGTCTCTCACATGTTCCGCCATGTGCTTCTCGTCCGCTCTTATTTACATCAGAGTGCGCACGCGTCTTTCACGCAGCATACAGCGGTGTTGTGCATTTTGACCAGTTGATGGGAAAAGTATTCTTAAAATGCATTCAAAATTCTGAATAACTTGTAATATATAATTATTCACGGTATTTAGAAGAGCCCACGATAACAATATTGTGCATATTCATTACCGTGATATATCGCATTACCGAATACCGGCACAAGTCTAGAGGAGTGTGAGTCGAGCTGACCGACAAGAGTGAGGTGAGACAGACGAGACGATGGCCTGTTGACTTTTGCCATTTATCAAAGGTTTATTTGGTTTGCTGATTTTTACTTTATTTAAACTGTGTAATTTGTTTATTTATTTTTTTTACATATGCCTTGCCTCCGAGCTTTTTTTTATTCGTTTTGCTAATAAACGTTCTATGTTTCTCATTTATTTGGTTCCACAGATTTTCAGTTTTTTATATTTAAACTTTATGTAAATTATTTGGTATTTTATATTAGGCCTATAGCATGATGTATTTTTATTCATTTTGTTAATGAAAGTTCTATGTTTAATTGAGTTCTACTTTTAAGTGAGTTCGGTGAATTGATGACGAATTGACTAATTAGAAAGTGAAAGTAAAATGCACATGGGCATTTAAGCTATTTAAAAGCAAGGGAAAGCGAGGAAAAGAGAGAAAACTCCAACGAAATCACAAATCAAATCAATCTCAAATCACAAATACTGAAGAAAAAGAACAGGTTGAATGTTAACCTTTCCATATAACTATAAACTATGATAAAAGTTCATCAGCATGCATTGATTAAACCCATGTTGTAGCAAAAAAATAAATAAAATTGCGACCAAATCATGTGCTCGTGCTAGTCACAAAGGAGCGACCAGTGGGAAGAATGAGTCTGGAGCCCTGAAGTTACAGTTATGAAAACGTTTTTATAAATTGCTGACAGTACAATACTGGACAATGATGTAATCTGCAGAATTTACACTTCAATTATGAGACTATGGTATAAATAAATTCAACTGTATAAAAGTTTCACTGCAATTCATTTTATAATGTTATTATTAAATAATAATTAAAGAACAATAAACATAATACATATGCACTTATCTGTACAGCTGGTGTCAATGATCTAATGTTGCATTTGGTCAGACTCAGCCCATTGCTTTACTGAAGTATATTATATTGTTCTTTTACAGCTGCAGACTGAGGAAGATCCTGAAACACACCAGCAAACCCTAAAACAGACAACAGTTTACAGATGTTTTTCAGTGGCAGCAGAACTATGACTAAACTTTTGGGTGAAACTTGTTTACTTTTTTCATACTTTTATTACTTGTGGAAAAACTTGAAACAATTTTAAATAAGTATAAAGAATGGCATTGGTTTTGTACATTTAATTTTTGTTTAACGTTATTAATAAAAATGTTGTTCAGTTAGCATGTTTTTGTGTTTTGCTTTGGTACCGAAATTGGTACCGAGAACCGTGGATTTTCACTGGTATTGGTACCGAATACTGAAATTTTGGTGCCGTGACAACACTAATTGACGCCATCCTTAACTAAACCGGACCCCTTTGGCAAGGGGCGGGGCAGTACTGAAACACCGTCTAAACTGTTCGCCAATCACAACGCACTGGGACAGCTAGCCAATCACAACACATTTAGTTTTTCGGAAGACGGGCCTTCATCAAACCTGGAACTAATAGAGCCGTTTGTGCCAGGTGGGGGAGAAAGGTATTTTAATAATGTAAATTATGTGAAAAATAATGCGTTTTTTGAGCCACCAAGCATGAGAGTATGTTCTAGTACACCCCCAAAACAAAATCAAGACATTGTAAAAGAGCATAATAGGACCCCTTTAAAAATACAAAGCTAAAATAATACCGACAAAAAACAAAACAATTTTAATTGAAAAATGGTTGTATTTATTAATAATTTTATTACATTGACGGTTTATGAAAATATTTTTTACTCTTTCTGAAGAGTCATGCACAATGAGGTTAGTAGAATGAATTTGCTTTAAAAAAAAAAAAGACTTAAAACAATTTAAAAAAAAAAATAAATAAAACTATACTACCCTCAAGGTTTCAAGAGATAGTTCACCCAAAATTCTGTCATTAATTACTCACCCCCTATTGTCGTTTCACTCGTAAGACCTTTGTTCTTCGGAACACAAATCAAGATATTTTCGATGAAATCTGAGAGCTTTCTGACTAGGGGTGGGAATCTTTAGGTACTTCACGATCCGATTCCGATTCTGGGAGTCACGATCCGATTCCAAAACGATTCTTGATCTACATTTTTTCCTAATGAATTCTTCTGCTGTGCCAAATACATGTTTACAATTTTATATTTTAACCAAAATTGCAATTTCTATGCTTTTTGTTTATAGTTGGAATCTCTGTAAGTGAGCACTGCCATCTTAAAAATAGCTAGGGGTGTGAATCTTCACTGGTTTCACGATTCAATTACGATTGTCATTAACAACTCAATATCACGATGCGTCACATTCTCAGTTCTCAATATTACTGCACATGGCTACATTTTCATATAAATTTTATATCAAATTTAATTTGTTCCAAATTAAAAAAAAAAAAATTATATAAACAGACTACTTTTTAAAACAATTACTTATTTAAAATAAGTGTTCTTTAAGTATCCGAAAGTTTACAGACAATAGGCTAGTTATGGGGTTTTCTTTTTTCCTCAGAATTATTGCCATTTGATTATTATTGATGAGATCATAGACAGTGGCAGCTTTAACAGGCTGCATTTACACTATTGCACAGATCTATTTCGATAAATCAGATGTTCTGTCCTGCTCTGAAAACATAACTGACTGTATTTACATCAATTTCATATAAAAGTATTTATGCATTTAACCGCAGCCGCAAGCTTCAGGACATCAAACACAAAGCGCACGTGAAAGTCTGTCAGTGCGTGAGTTTCGAGCATATAATACGAACTGCATTCCAGACGGCAGAAATGAAAGCGTATCTAAAGTAAAATACTGAAATAACAGCGGGTGGAAAGCACACACTGTCAAGTAATGCGCACGTGTCTCACAGCGCATATTCTGTGCAATGAAGCCCGTCGCGTCTCTAGCACGCACACGTGCCATTTGCGGGAAAAAAAAACAAGCTCAGAATTAATTCTGAATATTGAAGAGAGAATCGCGATTTTTTTTCTCCCACCCCTATTTCTGACCCTGCATAGACAGCAACACAACTACCATGTTCAAGGCCCAGAAAGGCAGTAAGGAGGACATCATTAAAATAGTACATGTGACATCAGTGGTTCAACCGTAATTTTATGAAGCTACAAGAATACTTTTTGTGTACAAAGAAAGCAAAAATAATGACTTTATTCAGCAATCTCTGCTCAGCGGTGTCGGTCTTCGACACACATTACCGACAGTGCCACAATGCATGCGTTTGCATTCCTTTGCTTTCTTTGAGCACAAAAAGTGTTCTTGTAGCTTCATTAATTTGTGTTCTGAAGATAAACTAAGGTCTTGCGGGTTTGAAACGAAATGAAGGTGAGTAATTAATGATAGAATTTTCTTTTTTGGGTGAACTATCTCTGTAATATATTATACATTATAAACAAAAAAAAAGTAAATTGATGGGCTATCATCAGAAGCATTGGGACCAGACCCCTCTAATGAGCAGGTGTGATTTGTGTTGATCCACAGGCGTACCTCCAGCAGGCTCAAGAGCTGGTGCTGCTGGAGGCTATAGTGCTGCAGACACTCGGTAAGTTACAGGATCTGCTAATAAATCTGTGCTTTATGAAAGCAGTGAACACATGAGTCCTGTCTAACCGGTGATTTTGTTTCAGGGTTTGAGATAACAATAGATCATCCACACACAGATGTGGTGAGATGTTCCCAGCTAGTGCGAGGTAGATGCTTCCAACTTTTGCTCTTAGTCTTTCTTCATCTCTTTCACGCTCTTTACTTTTTTCTTTTTCCTGGCTCACAACTGTTTTCAACATTGATCAGAAATGTTTCTTGAGCAGCAAATCAGCATATTAGAATGATTTCTGAAGGATCACGTGACACTGAAGACTGATGCTGAAAATTCAGCTTTGGACAAATTTACATTTTAAAATATTAAAGTAGGAATGTTGTTTAAATTTGTAATAATATTTCACAATATTCCTGTTTTTACTGTATTTTATTAAAAATAATTGCAGCCTTGGTGAGTATAAGAGACTTCTTTCAGAAAAGTAAAAAATCTTACTGACCTCAAACTTTTAAATGGTAATGTATAATATAAATGTTTATTTATTATAATATAGCACTTCTGTTTTTTTGGGGAGTAATCTGATACATTTTTAATGGAAAAAAAATTGTCAAAATGAATTGAATTTTAATCCAACATTGTCTGTCTCTCTCTCTATTTCTCCCCTCAGCGAGCAAGGACTTGGCCCAGACCTCCTATTTCATGGCTACCAACAGGTTGTTACCCTGACCCCTATTTGTTGCACTGCCATGGCACCCTATGACTTCCTATTAGGCAGGGTTCTCCTTCCTGTGTCCAACGCCCTCACGCGCCTGGGCGGGCTGTTTTGCTGTCCTGCCCGGCGAAGTGCGGTGTAATGTACTACGACTTGCTGTTGGCGCAGAAGGTTGAATACACAGCCTGGAGTGTAGAGGTGCTAATAGAGATATCTTGATTGAGAGTGCATAGGTCAATAACTCAATTGGTAGCCTGAATATCAGCTCAGAGTTCAAAGGTGTAAACTTAGAGATTGTCACGGTAAGTTCCAGAGAGTGCTTTCTTTTTCATGTTTCTTTTTGGTTTAAATTTTGATTTTTATATTTATTTTTCAATTATTACTGTTACTGTTATTTACAGTAAAAAATCATAAAAATAAAGAAAAAAGTATTTTATTTTATTTAGGATACTTCACTTTTTTTTTTAGGGATGCACCGATACCGATACTGGTATCGGTATTGGGCCCGATACTGAGCTCCTGTACTCGTACTCATTAAAATGCCCCGATACCAAACGCCGATACCACACAGCATGTGATCAGTGCCATATTCAGACAAAGAAACACCGACAACAGAACAACAGACTGCAGAATGGAGTTATAAGAGATTAAGGATGTCTACGAAGTATATGTATGCAATGAATATAATGTTAAACATTCAGTATTAACGTCTGTATAGCTGATGTGCGTGAGCTGATAAAGCACGCTGAGTGGATTGAGCGCGCTGCGGCGCAGATGTGCGAGCTTGTCGAGTGAATATATCTTTCTCACAGACATCACTGGAAAGCTTGTAGTTCGGTCGGATATGTCAAAAAGATGTTCACTCACTTAGCACACGCATCATTTGGATTAAAACTAAATCGTAAAAAGACCATTTATATGGGCATTCACTATAAACGTCATTTATTTTTAAGCTTGGGCATACGACTTTCTGGCGAAAGTGAATCTAGCAGCCTGTGTGAAATGCGCTAGGCTGTACTATTCTGCATCAGTACAAATACGTACACGCGTTGCGCGTGTTTTGCTTGCTTGAGTGTTTGTGCATTATATGAGTGGCTTTGGAATATAAATCGCAGCACGTTTCAGATGAAAAAACGCGACTTCTATTTCTGAAAATATCACAGTTAGGAGATTTATAACGAGTGGTTCCCTGCATTATTACAGCAAAGCG